GTCGCCGGGACTCCTATCCGTCGATCGTTCTCCTCCCAGATAATCTACAACACCGTTGCTTCTCGTTAATTGGCGATAAATATCGTGCCAGCAATTGAACACGCTCGGCGATCGCTACAGACTACCGCCACTTCCGCCGCGCTCTCATTGTTTCCGGGAGATTGGTAAAGTATACAGTTTCCGTGGATAGTCAGAGATGGCACTTTAACTAAAACCGCGTGACGTTATCGATCGGTTAAAAATTAGACGATGAAATGGCGGGAACTTCCTTAACCTACATATCAATGATCGAGATTCGTGATAAAGTTGAAGATCGAACTTTTAACCCTTTGCACTCGGGAACTTTGCAGTGGAAACATTCGACACTTTTCAATCAGATAGACGACACTATTTGAAATGAACTAGTGAGAAAATATGCGTAAATTAATACTTTGAGTGCCATGGGGTCACCGGCGATCCCCAACTAAATCGAATTACCATAATTCACTCAATGAAACGATGATTATTTGAAAACATTTCTATGTTATAAAAATAATGCTACCTAATACGGTGATATTCAGCTAGAAGAACGTGTAGTAATCATAATGCAATTCAATCAAACGAATTAGTATTATATTTTATCCATTGTATGTATTTTGCTCGATGAAATCGTGCGGCATTTGTGTTAAGAAACAAAGCTATTTTATAAAAATATTTCACATATTGATGCATTATACAAATCTTACTATTATATACGACACTTTGTAATTTTGTTATATCAAATCAAACGGTTACTGACCGTCATCTCTCGAGTACAAAGGGTTAACACTTTCGTGTACGATTCGCCTGAAGATTTCTACGTACATTTCTAATCTATGAAGTTAATTATTAGTTTCTCCAAAGTAAAAGTCATCGGTAAAGATTCAGGGAACAATTACCATAGCTAACGATACCAGGAAATTGTATTTATCCCGAGATGACGATTTTATTAGTAAAATTAGCAATACTTAATGAGAATGCACGAGAGGCACGTCCTGTTATTTTCTCCAGGCCAGGTATGCGTATCATCAGCGGAGCTGAAGGGAGCCATCCAATTAAGGGACACCCCGTGCACGACGAACTCGAGGATTCTTGGTCGAGCGACTTCCGTTCCGAAAATTCGTCGGCAGCTGCTTGATCTTTCCGCGTGGTTTCGCGCCGTACGAGCGACGGTAGACACTCGGCCAATGCGTACTTATCAAACGCAGGCAGCACAACCTCGAAATGAGGAAAGAGATGCGAGAGAGACGGAGACGAGGAGAGGTAAAACGCGGGAAACGAAGCGAGAAACGAGAACGGGAAAGAGAGAGAGAGAGAGAGAGAGAGAGAGTCGCGTACACTTGGCTACTTGGCATTTACATCCGCCATCCATTTTGCACGCCGGTACTTCAGTCCCTATTCTTTACCTTTAGGTGCCTGCACCCATGTACGGATACTCGCACGCGCGCTCGCTCGCGCCACTATCACAAGACTCCACACGAGAAACCGGTACAACTCCACATTTATGTGTATATATATATATGTACGTGTATATGTATGCATGTACATCTTAACACGAAGTTGCCGCATTTTTACGTGACAGAGCAATGCGTAGCTTCTGTGCCATGAGCGAGCGAATGCGTGAAAGAAGAGGCGAGTTGAAAGAAAACGAGGGAAGAAAAGAGAGAAGACGAAGAGAAGAAGACGAGAAGGAGAATCGCGGTGGAGAGCGGGGAAGACGGAGACGGGGAGACGAACGAAAGGGAGAAGAGGGAACTCGGATGTGCCGCGGAGCGGAGTCGTGTGAGGTGAGGGCGCACCTGGACCTTCATCTCCATGGGCGTACAAGGGCTCTCACTGCCTTCCACTCCACGATTCAACCACCCAACGGACTGCCTCCAGTTACCGTGCACCAAAGTTTCTTCTTTCTCTGTTT